ATCGAAGATATTGAGCATCGAGAGTTGAGGCCAAGGATGCACCGCGTTTTGTCTCTTGAAACTTGAAACCCGCTCAGCTGAGACTGCGGAGCAGCAGACTTTAAGCCTGGCATACAGAGACAGAGTGATGCGCGATGAGGGTGAATGGCTCACGGACAATCGAATCGCTCTGCGTTGCGTTCGATTTTGATTCCATACACCTTTTTTCATATTGTCGACTCTCTGTTGTCGATGTCGGTGACATGAGCATCGTATGTTCATCGTGTCGTGAGTTGTATATCGAAAATGAATTCTGGGGAGCATGCGGCGCAGGTTAGAAATCGTGATGATTCTGTGTGGCAAATTTGAGGGCGGAATTCCCGATCATACCGACCGACAAAAATCGGGTTCAAACGGCTGCGATTTGCCGTGCTTCCCGTGCGTGTCAATAAGGCACAAGGTCAATAATAGCAGGCATGCGGCCTGATCTTCGAGAATCCATGCTCATATCGCACGGATGGCTATTCGTAGAATGTTCACGTGTCGGTGAATCCTCGAATTCGTTTGTTGTGTACGCATCGGATAGTGAGACAAAAGACTCCGTTTATCTTCGAATGATCAGTTGAAGATTTATATGAGCATCATCTGTTCATGGTTGGAAATGAATTGTCGGGGTACATGATGTGAAAGTGGGTGAGTGTGATGTGTAATGTTTCGGTATGGGATTCTGATGATGTCCGAAGTTCGGACTTCAGGACAATGCTTTCGGCATAAACCGGATGGTGAGACCAAAGGTGTGTGTGTGGTGCCCGTTAGGCTTGAGAGTCAGGGAATCAGGAACGGGGGCCAAATTCTTACCGTCGAAACAGGAGTCTTATCGCTCTCGCGGTTATCGTGCCCGTTCAGGCTCGAGAGTCAGGAAATCAAGATCGGATTTATATGAGCATCATATATGTTCATGTTTGGAGATGAATCCTCGAGTCCTCGAGGCATATGATGCGCAGGTGGGTGAAACTGATTTTTCGATGTCAGATTCTGATGATGCGTGAACTTCGGACAAAATAGCAGAAAACGAGCTAACGAAAGAACCGCAAATATCATAGCTAGAATTGCGATATGAGAGGACATTTCTTTCCCGAAAAAAAGACAATGTCCGCGCGGACATCGGGACGGAAAGCGGACTCCAAAAGCGGACACTCTATTCCATGTTTTTTGCCCTTTCCATGGAATTGATTCGACTCTCCAACCATTTTCCAAATAAGCAACAATCGACCGAACTTCGATGCCCTAACGATCGCTCAGAGACAATTTGCTGAGTGAGAAGAAAATTTTCGACCCAGCCCCCGGCGCCTCTGACTCACGCTTGTGCAGCCCAGACCTCGGTGCCCTCGGCGAAAAAATAGCGCAGAAATTCAAATTTTATCATCGAATTTAGCGGTACTTCCTCGAAAATTCCGGAGAGCGGACATTCCCGAGAAAGCCCCCAAAAAGCGGTCAAAGCGGACAAAAAAGGATGTGTCCTCTCATATCGCAACTCTAATCATGGCACATGTCCGAGAAGGAAACGAGCATCGGAGATCGACGGAGACCATACCGTAAGTATCCGAGTAGTGACCCGGTCTTCCCTATCTTCAAATGCTACCGGTTGGGGCTTCTATTGGAGAGTGGCTCACGATATTTTCGGAAAAATTGATCAGTGATTATGGAAGTCTGGGGGAATGTGTGTTCTCGATATAGAGCTTGGCAATCAATGCACGTTAGCAACCGTCCCGGAAGGACTCCTTCAGGCGAAGATACTTGGGCGCCGATGTTCCGACGTCGGGCACGTCAGCTTCGCCTCTTAGCCGACTTTGAAATCCGGGAGCTTCTTCTGGAGGGGGCTTTCGTTTTCCCAGGAGCTCCGGCAAGGTGGCTACTATTGGAAAGCTTCTACTATGGAAGAGGGCCGCTCTCGGGAAATTCACGGCAAAATGCTTGGAGCCGCAGCGAAGCGCGGCAGGGTACGCTAGTATATATATATTATATTATTATAATATATACCATATACCATATATAAACGCCGCGCGTCTGTCACGTTGGGGTCTATGGCAGCTCCCCGAAGGAGGGGTGCGATCGGTACCAAATTTCAACAAGGCATCCGAGTGCTCTTCATTGCCCCTCAGGCCAAATTTGGTTCTGAGGGGTTGCATCTCTGTGCTAGAATTCGCCCTCAGAAGTGCGGAACATGACGTCATCGAGTCCCCCCTCGCCACACCACAGTGCTGCCGAGAGCGTTTCCCTTCCCACCCATGATTCGCCGCCGCGGCCAAAAAACCGTCGCAGATTCGCGCACTCAAGAATGACCGCGAGCATATTCCATCGCCGCGGCAAAATGCGTCGTTTTTTCAAGCTTCCGCCGCCGCGCACTCAGGGCTAACCGCGGATGACCGCGAAGCATGTAGTTCCTACCTTATTCCTTACTCCTTTGTATATCGTCCGCTCGCCGGGCATCCTCTTTTACTTTTTCTTTTTACTTTTAACTTTCTTTTAGAAAAGCTTCCAAGTTTCTGATCGTTTCAACACGCAGTCAGAGCGCATATTCGAGGCCTAAATAAAATCCTAACGGTTAATCGAGCTCCTCCGACTCGAAGGTGTCTGTCTTGAGAATATTTTTCTGTTCCGTGTTCCTCGAGAAGTTTGTGTTTCACAATGGATTCAGCGATTGAAGAACCGATCGCCTCTCGAACTCGCTCAGGTTCAAGATCTTTTCCGACGCAGGGAGCAACGTCAACACAGAGGTACACTATCAGCGGAGAACCGTGAACGGATTCGCGAAGCTGATCGCATGCAACATCGACAGAGAAGGCGTCAACCGTCAATCTCACCAGCACCGCACGCATTGACCTTGCGAGAGACCACTCTTTTTACCTGGGGCCGATGAGTACACTCTGTGCGTCATGCCGCGCGTCTCACTTCCAGGCAGAAGTGAATCCCCGGCACCCGGACATTTTCAGTGAATGCTGTGACACAGGCCGAATGGCTTTGCGACTTTTTGAAAATTATCCGGAAGAACTGAGACTTCTTTTTCTGCCTGTACAGTCGGATGATATGGAATTTAGAAACCGTCACAAAAATTTCCACGAGAACATCCGAAATTTCAATTCTGCATTGGCTCCGGCTTCCGTGGGGGCTCGACTCGCGCCGCCCGGGGGACAGGGACCTTTCTGTTACAAAATCCATGATCAGATTTATCATCGGATAGGAGCTTTACATCCAGAACCTGACAACGCGAGACGCTACGGTCAAGTATACATCCTGGATACAGAGCAGGCTACCGACTTGCGTCTTCAACAGAACAGCCAGTGTGATTCGAATACCATGAGGACTTTGAGTTCTCTGTTGATGGCTGTCAATCCTTGCGCGAGAGCGTTAAAAATGATGAGCGAAATCGAAGCAGCAGAAAATCAACTCGCGCTCCGAGAGCAACGACCTCATCCGAAACTAACTATGCGCTTCGAGAAGGCAACCTCCCGTGGTCTAGAAAGCCGCCCGTACGATTTGCCGACTGCAAACGAAGTCGCGGTCGTTTATGTTACTGAACACGACGACGTTCTTTCGCAGAGAAGCTTGGCTGTGCATCAGAGAAGCGGTACGCTGACCCACATATCTATCCTCGATGAACGATGCGATACGCTCGCTTACCCATTATTTTTCCCCACTGGCCAATCGGCTTGGCATCCGAATTCGATGAATTCGGAACACAAGAAGACCACGCAGAAAGATTTCTATTCCTGTTTGTTGTCCGTACGGAATGACGAGTTTAATCCATTGCTACATGGAAGAAAACTCCTGCAACGATTTGTCGTTGACGCGTATGTCAAGATCGAGCAGAACCGACTCAACTACCATAGAACCCATCAGAGAGAGCTCCGCCTCGACACTTATAGTGGATTGAGTGATCATTTCCACGATGACGTGCCGGGACCCCCAGGGAGACGAATCGTTCTCCCAACTTCGTTCATCGGGAGCCCCCGGAATATGCAACAGAGCTACCAAGACGCGATGGCCATCGTGGCAAAGCATGGAAAACCGGACATCTTCATGACGACCACCTGCAATCCGAACTGGGCGGAAATCAAGGAGAATCTGTATTCAGGCCAATCGGCATGCGATCGTCCGGATTTAGTGAGCCGTGTATTCCAGCTTAAACTAGCCGAGTTATACAAGGATCTCTTCAAGGAACATATTTTCGGCAGGGTAGTAGCTTTCGCCAGCGTCATTGAATTTCAGAAGCGTGGTCTTCCACACTGTCACATGCTCTTGATCCTAGCTTCAGAGTTCAAACCACGCACGGCAGGCGAAGTTGACACTTTCTGTTGCGCTGAGGTTCCCGATCCCCAATCTGAGGCTCCTTTGCACCAGGCTGTGAAATCTTTCATGGTTCACCGCCGTTGTGGATTCGGCTCTCAGGCTCCCTGCATGAAAGATGGCAAGTGCACGAAAAAGTTTCCGAAGTCGCTCCGAGACACTACATGCATCGCTGCTGACCGTTATCCAGAACTCCGACGGCTTAATCGATACACAATTTCCTTGGGAGAAGATCGATACGGCGATGAGTCGATCGTTCCGTATAATCCTTATCTACTGCTAAAGTACAGTGCTCACAATAATGAAGAGATTTGTGGCTGGATATCCGCAGTGAAATATTTGTATAAGTACGTTCATAAGGGTCCCGATAGAGCGAATTCAGTAATTTCGAACGATTCCGATGTCGATGAAATCAAAACTCATCTGAATGCTCGCTACGTTTGCGCCCCGGAAGCTATGCACCGGATTTTCGGCTATGAGCAACAGCGGAAATCTCACGCCATTCACCGCCTTGCCGTCCACCTGCCGGACGAACAGACGGTTTCTTTCACCGCGGGCCATGAACGTGAAGCTTTGCGGAGAGCACGAACAACACTCACGACTTTGACGGCCTTCTTCAAGCAGAACGCCGATTCCGAAGCGATGTCATCCCCTACAGAATCAACGCTGGATTCACGTCGACTCTTACACGGCGATTTCCCTGAGCACTTCGTATTCGACGCGAATTTAGGTTAGAAGGAAAGGCGTGCAATGCCAAAACCGATTATTGGCAGAATATATTCCGTACACCCGAGTGATGTCGAACGTTATGCGATGAGAATTCTCCTACTCAACACGAAAGGAGCAACATCATTCGAGAGCTTGGGCCCGGTAGAAGGAACGCTATGTCCGTCCTTCCATTCGGCTGCCCGAGCAGCTGGCTTCCTCGAGGAAGACGGATGTTTCAGAAGCAGTCTCACTCAGCGGAGCTGCAACATTCCGGATGCCAGCTTCTTTGAGAGGCTTTTTCGCCTCTCTCCTGAGTTTTTGTTCGGTGGCTGATCCCGCTGATCTTTGGCGGGAATTCGCTCCTGCCATGTCAGAAGACTTCGTCCACAGAGGCCACAGTCATGAAGACTCGATCGTTTTCGCCTATTTTGACATATACGATCGGCTCCGCGCTCACGGTCGGTTGTTGGTTGGTGGTCGGTGGTCGGTGGTCGGTGGTCGGTGGTCGGTGGTCGGTGGTCGGTGGTCGGTGGTGGTTCCAGTCATCATAGACCCTTCCCACCTACCTTGATGGCGACTCACGAAGGACCCAAAAATCATTGAATCGATGAACCCGGAGGAAGCCGCCGCCTGGGAATCCTCCGTCTCAGTCGCCACGAACTTCTTGGGGAGCACGAGAGCTTCCAACTACGTGGAGTTGGTGCAGAGACTTCTGGAAAGCTTCCGCATTCTCGGATGTAGAATGAGTATCAAGGTTCATTATCTCCACGCCCACCCTGATCACTTTCCTAAGAGTTTAGGGTCAATGAGCGACGAGCAAGGCGAGAGGTTCCATCAAGACATCAGCACCATGGAGGAGCGATACCAAGGGAGGTGGGATGAGTCTATGATGGCAGACTATTGCTGGAACCTCATAAGGGAAGCCCCGGATCGACCACATCCTCGACAAACGCTGACGGCTCGATTTGATGCGGATTGATCGACCCCAAGTGAAATCAGACGTTTTCGGTTTTTCGAGTAAATCATGAATAAAAACTGAATGGATCGACGGATTTTGCTCTGCTTGGTCTCAAAATGCTCGTAAAAGCCTCCTCCATCGAAGTGTCGAGGGCAGACGGCTTCAAAGGTCCTAGTTTTTCTGTCAAGTGCTTTCCAAGAGGCCCCTCTCCCACTTTTCCTTCTTTTTCTGAGTTTCCGATGGCTCTAGCTCAGAGACCATTGCTACGAATCGCACCAAAACTCGGCCAGGTATAGCCCTAACCAAGCCCTATCCGCCACCGAAGTTATATCGATCTAGTCTACTCAGGGGCGGAGCTAGAGAATTTTATAGACGAAAAATAGCGAAAAATCGGAATATTGAGATTCCGGAAAAACTGGACCTGATGGAGAAAATCTGTCGAGAAATTCGGATTCAGCGCCCCGGTTTACCCCGAAATAGCTAT